AGTCCATAATCCATAATAATGCTTCCTCCAGTGAAAAAGTCTCCTGTTGTCTCTCACATTAAAATCCAGCCACATATGTGTTTAGAGCTGTTTAAACGCTGCTTGATCTGTGCAGATTTCTCTCCTGATTCAGTCCAGACCACTTTTTCACTGGAGGAAGCGTTATTATGGATTATGGACTCGTATTTTAGCCGGAACCGACGGTTTGAAGTTAAAATGTTGGATTTGTTTCTTACAAACACGCAGCTTTTGGCTTCACAAGACATTTTGCCATTCATTTGGATGACAAAATGTGATTGAAATGTAAACAGCTGCACAGTTATTGCAGATAAATATACAGCAGCATGAAGACTGTATAAAGTGTAAGTAAAGCACTGTGTGTTCTGTTGTTGTGGGTGTGTGAGTCCGTGCCGTTGTCCTTGGTCCTGATTTACTCTTCTGGCAGATTCATTGCCAGTCAGTAATCAGACGCTTTTGCTGCAGTCAAGGTTACATAGCAGGACTCATTTTGTCTTGTGGATGATATGACCATATGTTACTCAGCTTTACTATGAGTCATTTGAACTTGCGCCAGTGAAGAGAGAATATACGCCAAAACTAGCAGAACCTCATTCAAATATGTTTTAACCCTTATGCTGTGCTGAAAATCCTTCACCTAATTTGGTTTTCCTGATCAAAAATGAGCGGGCTTTTAAAACAACGGTTTTATACAACAGTTCTATCTGGTCCTCGAATCTGATTGGCTGAGAGGAGTGCGATATTCTAGTGATAACAGCACTCCAACTGTTCTACCGTTTGTATCACTCCGCGTGCAGTATTTCTCACAGCGAGTGTCATGGTGGACGCCCAAATCCACTATAATTTAAAAATAATACTGTTTTTGTGTCACGGAATGTAGTTTTAAGAGTTTATTAGGTGAGAATGTACTTGTTTAGACTTGTGTGTGTTCGTGATGGTGATTTTAGTTACATTGTTCCGCCATTAGTTTTTCTGAGTGAGTCCGCAGTAAAGACTTTTATATTGAAAGAGACTGAAACAGGGTTGTAAACAAAGAAGGTCTTTTAACTTTCAACAACAGCTTGTAAGACGCAGTTAACAAATGCAGTGAGCAGCGCTGTCATCATAAATCACCCTTAACAGATGAAAGATAGTACGACAAAGATATCGCTTTCCTCAGCGGACATTCAGACTCATGTTTTATTGTGAATATGAGATTGAGCTGAAGAATGAAAGCTGTGTCAGATGCAGGGAATCACACTCTCAGTCCATCTCGCTCTCATAATACAGTGAACTTTAATACAGTGATACAATAAGCTTTTAATGAAGCGACTCAACGTTTCTTCGTTACTAAAGTTCTAAAGTGACGTTTTTGAATTAGTAACGGATCTTGAGCTCAGCTGTTAAACTGTCAAACAGAGATCTGAATCTGTGGCGGAAGGAAGTAGTTCCGCATAAAAGAGGGTTTTAAAGACACTCCGTTGTTGTTTCTTATGTATTTACACACTCGTGCCATCGAACTGTTGTATAAACGCAATATCACACTCGTAGCTGTGAGACATGGCTGTATATCAGCACAGATATGTTTACCTACAGCCGAATCACAGCCGTGCTGATATACAGCCATGTCTCACAGCTACTCGTGTGATATTGCTCTTATATAATATAAATAAAATGCTTTTAAAATTCTTTTATGCAAAATGTTTTTTATTCTTTTTTAAAATAACAGTAAAAGAAAACTATGCTGAACCAGTGTTATTTTTTATATCATTAATATGCTATTATAGTTTTTATTAATATATATTTTTAAATCTGCTTTATTTCCATACAGTAGGTAAAATGAACTGATTTCAAGTCAGTGCATATAATTTATATGTCAATGTTGAATGCCGAAGCTAAAAATGTATAATTTTTGTGTACAATTTTGTAATGCCAAACAGAATTTGAACAATTTTATGCATTCACATTCATGCAATTTTACTGGGAATTTCTAAAGGAAAATTGTTTGCACACCCATTTATTTCACTGTACCAAAATCCAGATCAACAATCCAGCTTGATATGTGACAAATGATTGGATATTGTGAGTGACTTGAGTCGTCCTGACATCTGAGGCCGTAACCCAGACTCGAATAACTCTGTTAATGAAATTGACCGAGCTTTAACAAACGAGAGTGAGCAAACGAGCAGGCGTGGAGTCTAAAAGCAGCTGTTTAATTAGAGCAGCCATCGACTGCCCCGGGCACAGGCTGACTGACAGCAGTCTGGATGGGTCTCATTGATCGGAGCCGCTTTCAGCCGCGATCAGGCCGGCCTGTGATGTGGAACAGAAACAGCGTTTCTCATTTCCTCTGTCTGTGCATCTTCTCATCAGGTCCCAACTGGCCATGAAGTTCCTGGATCCTGCATTCACATCGCTGAATAACGCGCTCAACGAGAACCTGCAGGAGTCCAGCAGCTGGAGGTTCAACAAGAGTGCTTATTTACAGCAGAGGTGAACCTCACACACACACACACACACACACACATGCACACACACGGTGGAGAGGATTTTAATACAGTTAGTCAGAATAATAATGAATATTAGCCAAGGTAGATGCCATATTTAATTTGACGCGTATATATGTATATATACACACACACACACACAAAATATTTCTCAGAATATTAGAACACGAAATTACATATTAGATGTCTATTAAATATTAATATAAAATATTTTTACAATTCTTAAAAAAAATTATTCTATTTTTAAAATAACAATAAGATAATATTATCGATTATAAATATTAATATTTTAATTAATATTAATATTTTATTAATATTAATAACATTCACTGTTCCAAATAAATTTTAAAAAGCTTTTTTAAAAGTGTTAAAAACTTCAACTCTCACATGTATAGGTAATATTAAATAATAATAAATATGAATATTTTTAAATAGTAATATTAAAACTTTATGGTTATAGTTAGTGTTTTTGATGTGTTTTTAATAAATTTATTAAGAGTTTATTTTTTAAATATGATTAAAAAGGTCATGAATATTATTAATATTAATACATATATCAAAACAAATGTTCATTTTTTAATTAGAATGTCAACTCTCACATATATATGAAACATTAAATATTATTAAATACATATTTTTAAATAGTAATATTAAAACTATGGTTGTAATTGTGGTTCGTAATTTTATTTTTAAAAGTTTAGTTTTCAAATATGATTAATAAAGTTTGCTAATATTGTTAATATTAATAAATGTATCAAAACAAATGTCAAACATTTTTAAAACACTATTTTTAAATTTGGATTAAAACATTTGGATTAGCTCTCATATGGATATGGAATATGAAATATTATTAAACATGAATATTTTTAAATAGTAATATTAAAATTATGGTCATAGTTATTGTTCTTGATGTGTGTTTGTTTATTTTTTTTAAGAGATTATTTTAAAAATACAATTAATTAAATGTATAAATATGATTAAATCTGTCAAATCAACGCCAACATTTTTTAAAACACAATTTTTAAATTGATTAAAATGTCAGTTCTGACATGTATATGTCATAATAAATATGATTAAATATGAAAATTTTTAAATAGTAAAACAAAAACTATGATAATAGTTATTGTTCCTGATGTTTATTTATTTTAGTTTTTAAATATGATTAATAAAATGTATAAATACAATTAAATCTATCAAATCAAATGGCAAAATTTTTGGAAAACACAATTTTTAAAAAATGTATCTTAAAAGTCAATTCTCATGTGTGTATGCAGTGTTAAATATTACTAAAAATGAATATTTTTAAATAGTAATATTAAAAATATCAAGTTCTGTCATGAAACTCTAGAGAAAACACAATTTTGAAATTGATTAAAATGTCAGTTCTGACATGTATATGTCATAATAAATATGATTAAATATGAACATTTTTAAATAGTAAAACAAAAACTATGATAATAGTTATTGTTCCTGATGTTTGTTTATTTTAGTTTTTAAATATGATTAATAAAATGTATAAATACAATTAAATCTATCAAATCAAATGGCAACATTTTTGGAAAACACAATTTTTTAAAAATTTATCTTAAAAGTCAATTCTCATGTGTGTATGTGGTGTTAAATATTACTAAAAATGAATATTTTTAAATAGTAATATTAAAAATATCAAGTTCTGTCATGAAACTCTAGATGGCGCAGGCTGATGGGTCCTTAACGTAATTGATGATATTCTTAGCATTAAACGACTTGTCACAAGCTGATTGGTTCCCGTTGCATATGCAGCCAATGAGCTTGCTGCTTTACATTTGAATGGCTGATTAGCATTCGCTTGAGCATCGCAGCACACTTTCAGTGTTCCTCTGAAACCCTCCACCTTCCCCAGCTCCACCTGTATAGATCTGCTACGGGTTATTTTATATGCTATTTGTGCAGCAGCAGTATGTCTTAAATACTCAGAGCACCGTATCGGCTTGTGTATTGGCAGTAGCAAGTTCCTGTACTTGCTTGCAGCAGCAATAATCTACAAATACAGCAATAACCAACAGCAGCAGAAATCTACAAATACAGCAATAACCAACAGCAGCAGCAATAATCTACAAATACAGCAATAACCAACAGCAGCAGCAGCAGCAATAATCTACAAATACAGCAATAACCAACAGCAGCAATAATCTACAAATACCGCAATAACCAACAGCAGCAATAATATACAAATACAGCAATAACCAACAGCAACAGCAGCAATAATCTACAAATACAGCAATAACCAACAGCACCAGCAGCAATAATCTACACATACAGCAATAACCAACAGCAGCAATAATCTACAAATACAGCAATAACCAACAGCAGCAATAATCTACAAATACCGCAATAACCAACAGCAGCAATAATCTACAAATACAGCAATAACCAACAGCAGCAATAATCTACAAATACAGCAATAACCAACAGCAGCAATAATCTACAAATACAGCAATAACCAACAGCAGCAATAATCTACAAATACAGCAATAACCAACAGCAGCAGCAATTCAGCAGCAGCAGCAGCGTAGCAGATCTATTCCGCCAAGACCAAATACATTAACATTGACATATCCATTACCATGCTAAAATCTTCAGAGAGTTCTCATGATAGAAGTATGGTTATAGTTGTTGCCCTTGATGTGTGTGTTTATGTATTTATTTTTAAATGTATCAAATGTACAAAAATATATATATTATTTTATTCTTTAAAACATCAACTCTCACATGTGTACTTAATATTAAATATTAATATATATGAATATTTTTAAATAGTGATATTACAGTTGGCGTTCTAATTCTTTTACCCTTCGTTTTTCTTTCTGATTTGCTCATATCATGTTGTTGCGTCTGTTTTCCAGTAAAGAGATTGCCCAGTACATCGACATCCCGCACAACTTCACGCTGACCAAGAGCAGCGTCCGCGTGGGTCAGCTAATGCACTACGACTACTCCAGTCACAAATACGTCTTCTCCATCGGCGAGAACCTCAGGTCTCTGCTCCCGGACTCGTCTCCCGTTCTTAACAAGCACTTCAACACCTGCGCGGTGGTGGGAAACAGTGGCATCCTCACCGGCAGCCGCTGCGGCGCGCAGATCGACAGCTACGACTTCGTCTTCCGCTGCAACTTCGCTCCCACCGAAGTCTTCCGTCGCGACGTGGGCCGCCGGACCAACCTCACCACCTTCAACCCCAGCATCCTGGAGAAATACTACAACAACCTGCTGACCATCCAGGACAGGAACAACTTCTACCTGAGCCTGAAGAAGCTGGACGGCGCCATCCTGTGGATTCCCGCCTTTTTCTTCCACACGTCGGCCACGGTCACGCGCACGCTTGTGGATTTCTTCGTAGAGCACAAGGGCCAGCTGAAGGTGCAGTTAGCCTGGCCGGGAAACATTATGCAGTACGTCAACAGGTGAGATCTCACGTCGCATCTGAGAACTAAGCTACTGAAAATAAAAATAACAGTTAGTTAATCACAGTTATTTGGCTCAAAACATGTAATCACAATTATTACAGTTTTTCTGAATTGCTAAAACACTAAACCCCAATCTCTGAACCAAATTCTCACTAGCTTAAACCAATTTGTCGAATAAAGCACTCTTTCTGCTAAACCTTAAACACGTTCAGGCAGTTAGGCTCTATTTGCAAATCTCTAAACACATTCTCATTCACTTAAACACTTATCACACTGAATACAACTAAAGCACAGTTATCATCGTTTACACACAACGATTCAAAATTGTTCACACTTGTTTCTAATGATGTGATCAAACCAGCTGTACAACATATGAGCCGGCTCAGAGAGCACAAGTGGCACAGGAGACTGAACGATGAGACGAACAATAGATGGAAACAATCTGAGAAGGAGAGCAGGAAGAGTACATGCAAGAAGTGAAGGATGAGGAGAGAAAGAGTAAGGTTTAGAGAGTGTTATAAGGCTGGATCTGTCAGACCAGAGGGTTTTTTCTCTTTGTCTAGCAAAAAAGACAACATTAAGTGAAATGGTTTTGCAGTGATTGTTTGATTTTGATGGAAGAGTCAGAGGTTTCGTGAATTCAGTTTGAGTATTTGGATTTGTGTTTTAAGGTTTTGAGAAAATGAGTGATGTTTCAAGAAATGTGTTTTAGCAATTCAGAAAAACTGTAATCACATTTTACTTTTTTTTTTTCATTTTGTCATTGCACTTTCACATAAGCAAACATCACGTCGACACTCGTGGTTTGCTCGCAGATTTAGTCGCAGCAAACAGCGCAAACAACCGCATGAAATAAAAAACAGACTTTACATGTTTCTTTTATATTTTTTATTAATTTTAATTTATTAATTTTATTATTTTATTAATTATTTTTTATAGTTTTATATTTTTTTAATTTTTGAGAATTTCTTAAACTCTTTCAAAAAAAAATAAAAAATAAACAAACAAATAAATAAATAAATATTAGACAATGATTGCAAACTGATTGAGTTTTTTTTTTAGATTTCAGCCTGATATTAAACTTTATTAATAATATTTTGAAAGCTAAAATTAAAATAAATAAAATAAATGAGAATTATTACCAACTGTAACTGTAACGTGTAACTCTTCAAATGACTCTTAAATAAATAACAGTATTAGAAAATGATTCAAAATTGTTGTTTTTTTAAAGGAATTTCCTCAATTCTTTCAAAACTCATTAATAAATAAATAAACAATATTGCAAACTGATTAAGAGACTTTTTTAAAGACTTTCAGCCTGATATTAATAAACATTATTGATAATATTTTGAATACCAAATAAATAGAAGCTATTACTAACTAACTAAGTTTTTTTATGTCTTAAAGAATTTCTTAAACACTTTGAAAATGTCTTAAATAAATAAAAATATTAAAAATTATTGCAATCTCATTGCAAAATCATTACAAACTCAGAATGATTAAAACACCTAGAAATGATCAAAATGATTTTTAATTGAGAAATTGAAGGCATGTTCATCATAGAAGAGGTGTATGAATTACAGTTTTTGCCTATTGCTTACGTGTGTTACGGAATTGCAAACAAAGTGCAAAGTTGACAATGTGTTTAAGCTATGGTTACACTGTGTTTAAGGTATGCTACAAGAAGTTTAGGTATTGAGGCTTTGGTCTAAGCATTCGGTTTTAGTGTGTAAGTAATGGGCAAAAACTGTAAACCTGTTAATATTATGGAATAAATGGACCTGTAGAAAACGATCTCACACACACACACACACACACACACACACACACACGTGTCGCCCC